CTAGGCCCGAAACGTCAGCCTTCCTGCTCCTCTGATGCTGCTTGGCCTGCTGTGTTCATCCAGCTCTACACCTTGTTATCTAAGAATAAGCCATTTGCAGAATTGGTAACCAGAGGTCACAAAATTAAGGCACTGACAAACGAGCCAGCTAATGAGGATACTTTAATACAGTAAGTAATGCCATGAACTGGAATGCACTGCCAGAACGGGTGGTGGAAGCAGATTCAATAGTATCTTTCAAAAGATAATTGGATTTGTACTTGGGAGGGAAGAACTACACAGAGTTAAGTGGGAAGAATAGGGGTATAGAACTAGTTAGACGGTTCTTTCCTAAATATGCTGGGCCAAGTGATCTTTATTTGTATGCCTGATTCTATGCATTCGAAGGTCAGACAAAGCATTTTGCCACAGCGATTTTTCAAAGACTTTGAATAGCTATAAGTTAAACAAATTTTTCATACCCACCTCCTGCACAGCTTTTCCAATGTTCCTGTCCCACACCGAGCAGCTCTTTAACCCCATCATCCATGGCTTTTGTAAACTTACTAAACATTTCAACCTTCTGCTCTCTGCAGAGTCAAATGCACAAAAAGTGACTTGATTTCTTTCCAAATATGAATTTAAATAGACTGAACAATAGGATTTGTATAGAGGAGGAAACTCAAATCAAAAAGGCATAGGTGTTGCAGAGGGGGAAGGATAGAAATTTATACTTATCGCACAAAGTACGTCAATTTTTAAATCAGTAATTTTCAGATTATTACCAGTTAACTTGGAACTGTAAAATTAATACATACGCCTCAAGTAGGCTAATATCCTCTGCTGGTGGCTCCACAGTTGAAAAGATCATGATACCAACAACATCATCCTTTTCAGTTTTCCTCTTTCCTAATTTCCATTCCTTCAGGGAATAAAGGAGACAGAAGTACAAATAAAAATGAGAAAAAAAAAACTGAAATCTTTTCAGTTTCCCTTTCCTGACTGCATTTAAGGGCAGTGCATTCAAAAAGAACACCATTTAGCAATCTTTGATTGTTACAGCTGTGTAGATAAAACGTGGACAGTGACACAACAATTACAGCTTGTGGTGAAAGTTAAAGATAATCTTCAGTGAATGCTGCCAGCAAGATACAACAGCTTTCTAGATGCATTTACAGTCATTCGAAGAGCTTATGGTTCACAACTGGCATAATGCCATAGATCTAGAACGAGTTCTTTTGGCTCCTAATTATTCAAATTTCAGAATAGAGATCAATATAAAAAGAAAAGAAGGAATGTCTGCTCAGTGAGGCATTCCACAAGATAGTATTGCGATCCTAAATGGAGACATAAAATCCACTAGTTATTCTCAAACTGAGTAGTTTGTTCATTCTGAATTCAAACTTCAGTTTTGAGCCAGATGTTTAAATATTGCATCAATATTTGCTGAGTCTATGTTCAGTTCAAAACATTAAACTGTTTTATACATAATAAATTGCACATCCACAGCAACAGCTAAAGAAATTTCCCCATGTTAACCAATTCCAATGTACCATAGTCTTTTCTTGAGCCTGCAGTTCTGGAGATCTATCGACCTTAAAATCAAAACAGATTCTAAAAGAGATCATGCATGATCAATATTATTTAATTCTTTGAAGTAGTAACAGGAAGAGTAGACAAGAGTTATATCGCAGCTAAAGTATATTTAAGTTTTCAAACTGCAAACTTACTACTGAGGAGTTCTTTCCCAGAGACGAAAACAGAAGTTGCCGGAAAAGCTCAGCAGGTCTGGCAGCGTCCGAGAAGAGAAATCAGACTTAATGTTTCGGGTCCGGTAACCCTTCCTCAGAACATGGTTTCAGATTATTGGACGCAAAACGTTAACTGATTTCTCTTCACAGATGCTGCCGGACCTGAGCTTTTCCAGCAACTTGTTTTTGTTTGATTTACAGCATCCGCAGTTCTTTCGACTCTTTCCCAGAAAGCCAGTTGGTGAAGGACAGAACTGTAGCCAATGTTTACATACCTTTATATTTAGTATCAAAGTTCCACGTTGTCTAGTGTTTGCTTGGTAATCAGCTACCATTAGTTATTTTAATCAACCTATTCAGACATGTTACAATATAGCTCCGGGTCAGGTGGAACTTGATCCCTTTTCTGGCCTAGAGGTAGAGGCACTACTGCTGTACCGCAAGACCCTCATCACCATACTTTCAATCTGTTCATTTGCAAGAGGTTCAGGTGAATGCCCGGTTAAATGTTCACCACTTGCATACAATTCAAATACAATTATCAGGGTGAAGCAGCAGAATGGTTAGACAGTTTCAGACAGAACAGAGGAACCAAGAGATAAAAAGGGTAGTTATTCAAACTAGTGAAAGGTGGGAAAATGGTGGTCACAAAGATCAGTGAGACAATCACTGTTGTTCAGTATTCACATAAATAAACTGGACTCAGCTATTAGTAACATCATTTCAAAATTTCTGGCCAATACCAGAATGAGTTTAATACTGAACAAGACTGTGAAAAAAATTATAAGACAATATTAATAAAAACAGAACTCAGATGTAATTGGCAAATGAATTTCAATACAGATGTGTGTGAAGTGCTGATGGAAGAATAAGGCAGCCACATACTACGTGCAAAAAAAAAAGTGGAACAAAGGGGCACAGATACACAAATTACAAAAATGTCACAGGTTATACAGCAATTAATAGAACCAAAAAATGTTATGATTTCACTTCTACAGGGATAGAATTGAAGGGCAAAGAAGTTATTGTGTTAAAATTCCAGTGAACTTTACATCATAATTGGATTACTATGCACAGTTTTTATCTCCATATTGTATTTTTTTAAAAAATCAAGAAACTGGACAAGGTGCTACATCGGAAGAATGATATGCATGTGGAACTTTCTACTGCAAGGAGCAGTCAAAGCAAAGAACACAGATACATTAAAAGGAAAAATTAGGTAAGTACATGATATAGAAAGTAATGAAACAATATTCTGATGATGGAAAGTAATTGGTGCCTCTACCAGCACTATCCACAGCTCCAGGCTACAACAGGCATGATAAAATGTATGTTGCCACATCAGCTCAATGAAGGCTGATACCGCATTTGAAGGAACTGTCTTATCAGGAGAGGTGGAGTAGATTGAGCTTGTTCTTATTGGAATACAGAAGAATGAGAGGAAACCTCATTGAAACACAAGATTCTTGGAGGACTTGACAGGGTAGATACAGAAAGGTTGTTTCCCTGGTGAGAAAAGGCAACCAGAGCACCAGAGGGCACAATCTCAGAAACGGAGGTCACACATTTAAGACAGAGATGAAAAGGGATTTCTCCTCTCCGAGGGTTATGAATCTGTGGAATTCTTTACTGCAGAGGACTGTTGAGGATGGGTTAGGTACACTCAAGGCTACATACAGACTTTTCAGTAAGGAAATCAAAAGTAGTGGGGAAAATGGCAAGAAAGTGGAGCTGTGAACCATCAGACCAGCAAATCTCACTGAATGGTGAAGCAGATTCAATGGGCTAAATAGCCTACTACTGCTCCTACATCTTATAGTCTTAAGACTCCCTGGAAGACCAGCCAGCTTAGTTGGTGTGGATCAGCTTGGTACTAATTGCACAAGGTTCAATCCCCATTATACTTGGACAGCTTTAGGAGCTGCCTCCTTACCCTAGCCATGGTGAACATCATGGTGCAATGAATTGGCTCTGCTTTCAGACAGAATTCAAGAAGGCTGCAATCAATTGGGTTCAATGTACAGTTTTGTACTGCAGACTATAAACGGGATTTTACGGGCCCCAGTCAGGTATGTACCTAAAAGCAACAGAAGTAGGTCACCCATGTCTTCAATGTTGCATCGTTGGGGTTCAGGGCTGGGGGGTGGGGGGGAGCGGGGGCAAGTAAAACATGATAGGTAGTCAGCTCACAAATTTTACCCTGACCCAGTCTCTATACTAGGTGGTGAAGAAGGGATTGGACAAGGTGTCCGCAACCCAAATTCATGCTCTTCAGTTACTATGCACTTAAAAAGCCTCAACTGCCTCCACTGCCAAATTACACTGGGCAGTGAAAAGCAATATAGTGGGAAGGTGGTTTCCTCACTCAAGTTTGCAAAAAGTCAGGCAAGAAGTTAGGGTAGTTCATCCTTTGGGGCTTACCCTATGTAAAACAGGGAACTTCCTTAAGATTGTATTCCATTTTGTGCCTCCCTGCCTGGCCCCCAAAATCACTTACCTGCCAAAACCTCTTTTTTAAATTCATTTGCAGGATGAGGGCATTGTTGGCTAGGCTGGCATTTATTGCCCCTCCCTAATTGCCCACAGGGAAGTTAAGCGTCAACAACATTGCTGTGGGTCTGGAGTCACATGTAGTCCAGACCAAGTAAGGATAACAGTTTCCTTCCCCAAAGGACATTAATAAACCATGGATAATCAACCTATGTTGCCAGATCCATCCTCTTGCTCAAAATTCCCAGAACCTACCCATTTCTGGTGTCCTCGACACATTTTCGTGTATGCTTGCAGTTTCAGCAGCATCCACAAGTGACCTCTGGTGCTGCTGGACTGCAAAAGCTGTTGAACAATCTGATTCGCTGACAGCTCTTGACAGTGGAACTTCCTTCCACCGAGTTGGACCCTTAACTTGTTGAGGCCATTCACAACAAACACTGCTATGGGCAATCCTTTTTTAAAATTTAAAATGTGGGTTAGAATATCTCCTTAGTGGTTGGAGAAGATAGCTCCACAGATGCTGCCAGACCAGCTGACTTTCTCCAGCATTCTGTGCTGGTTACATATAAAATGCAAATGTAAATTTATGAAAAGCAGTTACTTCATTTACAAAAGCTAGTCTGAGATTTATTTTGGATGACATCACTTTTTATTTCTCAACCTTTAAAATATCATAAATTAGTTTCAATATAATGGGTTTATTTTAATTTTTTCCAGTACAAAATTATTCTCTGTACACCTCTAGCTCAAAAATCATCAATCTGAAAAATCGAGTTAAAGAAACCTTCCAGTAGAAATGTTTTCTCACACTGAATTGAAAAAAATTAATTGTATTAATTTCCCTTTAATGTTCTCAGCTCTAAAAACACTGCCAGTTACTCTAGTTTATTCACAATACAGAAGTCAGTCATCTCTGGTACAATTCCAATAAACCTCATCTGCATCCTTTAAGACCTTGACATCCCTGTTGAAGTATGGTACCCAGAATGGACATAATATTCCAGTGGAGGCTTGAGGAGTGATTCATAAAGATTGAACATAACTCCCTTACTTCCGAACTCTAATCCTCTATTTATAATGCCAAGGACGTCATTTGCTTTGCAAAACAGCCTTTTCAATCCGTCATGCCATCTTGAAAGAAAAACGGCAGATGGCGTTTAATCCAGACAAATGCGATGTGATGCATTTTGGAAGGTCAAAAACAGGTGGAAATTATACAGTGAATGGCAGGGCCCTTAGCAGTATTGATATACAGAGGGATCTAGGTGTGCAGGTGCAGTGAAAAGTGGCAGTGCAGGTAGATAAGGTAGTTAAAAAGGCCTATAGCCTACTTGCTTTCATTGGAAGGGCTGTACATCAGGATAGACAATTATGCTGCAGCTTTCTAAAACCTCAGTTAGGCGACACTTGGAATATTACACAGAGTTCTGGTCACCACATTACTAGAAGGATGTGGATGCTTTGAAGGGGGTGCAGGAAAGGTTTACCAATATGGTGCCTGGTATGGGAGGTTTTAGCTATGAAGCAAGGTTGGCTAGGCTGGGTTTGTTTTCACTGGAAGACAGGAGGTTGAGGGGGCAACCTGACAGAAGTTTATAAGATTATGGAAAGTGTAAGGGTTTTTCGCAGGGTGGAGGGATCAAATACAAGAGGACACAGGTTCAAGGTGCAGGGATGG